TGGCCCTAAATGGCAAAGAGCCCTTCAACGAAGTTGAAGAGGGGCTCAAAATAATGCACTTTACAGTTTATGACCAAGTCCAAAACAGTGCACAAGTTAGCCTAAAATATCATGCAAAAATAGGCCTAAAAGAGGGTGCATGCAAGACATATGAATGAATGCAGACATGCTATCATACTATATGCTAATTGAAACATGCCCTAATCTAACCATCATAAGCTGGTAAATAAAAGGGAGAAAGGCGTGGGGTTGGAAGACATACATCACACACACGCACACTTATTACAGTTGTGCCCTCGCGCAGAGGGTCTGAATAAATAATACAGTCCCGAATAAATAATTACAGTCCAAATAATTACAAAACCCTAATTAATTAACAAATTAAATAGGAAAGCGGTAAACTAGCATGCAAGCTAGGAACTGCCTCGACTCTGTTCCGAATGATGGATGATGCATGCTTGAGTCGCCTTGTGCGGAGAATCCCTCGCGATGCCCCGGTTTGCCTCTGTTTGCAATTGTTCTTGGAATGCGTGCCAAGCTCCGGAAGGCTGTCGATTTCTGATTTGCTGCAACAGAGAGCAACAAAGAGGCATGGCAAAGTATTTTCACATATGTATGCTTGACTACTCTTCGGGGAGTGTAGTCCTCGATCCTCATGCCACCAATCGCGCATCTCGATGCATGATGGCCGAAGAGTCGAATTGCACGACTTAATATGAAATGAATGCACACATAAACACAACAAAACCTAAACTCCATCATGTATAATCCGAAGTGTCGGTGATTGGGAATTGAGACACGTTCCGTCACTCGAAGTACGAAACGTCCCTCGTTTCCCGTGCTCGGGCTAACTCCTATCCCAAGCACAATGCAATATGCATGACATGCATGAATGCAACTAATATACAACCTAGCATGCACAATGCTATAAGATGGCATACACAATGCACGATGTAACAAGGCATACGCAATGTTCTAACATACAACCTAGCATACGCAATGCTATAAAATGAAATGGCATACTCAATGCACAATGGACTTACACCAACATGAGTGGACCTCAGCCACACTCACATTAGTAGCCATTAGATGAAAATGAGACACTCGAGATGCGTGCACACGTGCACGCAAACTGAGGACCGAACTTAAGGCACAAATGTCACTCTAACAAACCATGGCAAGGTATGAAACATGATATGCAAACATGCAAATTTCAGTACCAAAATATGATGCAAAACAGGCCCGAAACATGGAAACATGGCACCCGATGCATGAAATGAGACCCGAAACTCGAAACTAGGCGCATGGAATGACTTATAGCTATACAAAGCATGCATTATTTGAATATGAAGCATAAAGACAGAATCAAGGCAGTCCCAAAACATGCATATTTCCAGTTTTAAGCAAGGCCAAAAAACAA